ACTTCCAGTTTTCCTGAGTGGTTTATTGGAGATAAGAGTGTCACAGATTTTCCTGCCCGGGCTGGCTTTGAACGCTGATCCTCAGATCTCAGCCTCCTTAGTAGCTAGGATGACAGGTGTGAGCGCCCGGCGCCCGGCTAACTTCCTTATTTACTTTTGTTTGTGCCAGTACTAGGGCTTGAATTTAGGGGCCTGAATGCCTATCCCTTAGTTTTTGCTTTGTGGTTTTTTTGGTTTTTGTTTTACATTCCAGGCTTGGTGCTCTACCACTTGAACCACAATACCACTTCCAGTTTTCTGGTGGTTTATTGCAGATGAGTCTCACTGACTTTCCAGCCAGGGCTGGCTTTGAACCATGATTCTCAGATCTCAGCCTCCTGAGTAGCTAGGATTACAGGTGTGAGCCACCAGTCCCCAACTCTTAATTTTCCACTTTTCCCCTTTAATTTTCTATTGCCCAGCACCTTATTTTGTCACCATTTGCCAGTGAGGGGACACAGGCTTCCCTTCTCTTTCCTGGAAGCATCTCCACACCAGGAAAGAGGGTGTGGGGCCCAGGTATAGAGGAAAGACATCTCCCCTGTCTTCACTTACCTGTCCCCCCAGCTCCTCCCACTCACATGTCATACTTACCTGTCCACATTACTAGTTCTCCCATAGGGCACCAGCCTTGCCTGTGTATGCCAGCAGGGCCAGCCTCCACCCAGCCTCTTCCTACAAGTAGAGGCTATGCTCAGGTTTATGGAAGAAGCCTTCCTCCAGGGTGCCTCCCTTGCCCCAGTCCACACCACAGGCAGGCACTCTAGACCTGGGCATACCTGTTGAAAAGGTCCTTTTTTTTTTTTTTTGAAATTCTGTTTCAACTGAATCAGAACTTGCATCCCCGGGCTGTAACTTAAAATCTTGAGCTGTCACCTGCTTATTTCCCCTCATTTCTCTCTTCTTCTAAATTCTGCTGCTGAAAAAGAATCAGGCTTCACCTGCCCAAGGCAATGCTCTGGCTCTGAAGCATGGGCACCCTAGGGCTTACTGTGGCTCTTATGGGCTCTCCTAGGTTTCCCTGAAGATCCCTGTAAGAACACCCACCCCCAATTACATTGTGCCCTGGGGGAGGGGGGAGCCATCTCTGGCCAACCTCAGTTCTGAGGCCTACTGAGCACTTTGCCCCAGCAGAGGGTCCCGTGCAGGATACCCTTTCCAGGCAAGGACCTCCTGGATGCCCTCTCAATGATGGCTGCTACTGCTGAGTTCCTGTCCTCACTCCACCTAGATCTTCAGATCTCAGCCTTTGGGTAACTGAGTTACTGGTGTCCGGTTCACAGCTGCATTCCTGTAGGTATCACTGACTAGCCACTTCCCTGCTGGACCAGCTCCACAAGACTCATCTTTCTACTTGCCTAGGACCTTGCCGAGCACCCGGAAATGTCACATGCCAGATAAGTATTTGTCAAGTTGGAAGAATGAATGAGCAAACAAAGCATTATTTGCTAAAATCAGTTTCTTTATACTGGTGAAATATTTTAAAATACACAGAATCAAGGCACTGGACAGGTAAGATCAGATAGAGACTGGCTACTCTTTTGCCCTTGCCCTTTGTGGCTACGTAAGACATACTCAGTGAAGGAAGTTAAACAAAGTTTTAGACAGCTTTGGTTACATTTTGGTTCAAACATAGATTAAAATTTTTTTTTATTGTCAGCCATTGGGTAGAACTCAAGGCCTAGGACTGTCCCTGAGCTCTTTTGCTAAAGGTGAGTGTTCTACCACTTTGATCCACAGTGCCATTTCTGGTTTTCTGGTGGCTAACTGGAGATAAGAATCTCATGGATTGGCTTTGAACCATGATCCTTAGATCTCAGCCTCCGGAGTAGCTAGGATTATAGGCGTGGGCCATCACTACCTGGCTAACCATAATTTTTAAAGTTCCATAGTTAAGATATAAGCCCAAGCCAGCTGCCAGTGCCTCACACCTGTAACCATAGCTATTCAGGAGGCTAAGATCTGGAGGAACTGAGGTTTTTGCCTTGATTAAGGCAGAAAAGTCTGTAAGACTCCATATCCAAGTTGTAGAGTGCCAGCCTTGAGCAAGAAAGCAAAGGGTCAGTGCCTAGCCCTGAGTTCAGGATCTACTGTTATATGTATGTGTGCATAAACATGCACACACACACACACACACACACAAATCTTAAAAAGAAAAAAGGATCATTTCTGTTTACAGGTCTGAAGATCCAAGATAAAACAGCAACCTGTGGTGATGACCTTCCTGTGATCAGAGTCCTGAGGCATCACAGGTAATCACATGGTGAAACAGCGAGTGTGTGTGCACACACATGTGCTTGGATGTGCATCTGTGTGTGTGCACTGTGTCTTCTGGACTAGCCCTGGGGGCTTTGCCTGATGATTTTATCCAATCCTGGCCCCTTTCTAGCGTCCCACTTCTAACCACTAATGCCAATATCACAGTCATCTTCCCTTTTATGCCAGTTGTTGGTCTTTACATTCACCTGTTCTTGATACAACTGAGATTTCTAAATGTCTTCTAGATGTCTGGGTTATTATACCTGGAGAGTCCTGACTCTGCTAAAAAAAAAAAACACAACCCTTTGCATTATCAGGTAGCTGCTCCATTCAGGTATGGCATTGGGGGTCTGCTATTCCAAAGTTGCACTTGTCTTTGGGGTCCTTGCCTTGCCCTCCTGGAGCAGGGGACAGGGATGGGGGTGCTCCATCCCTGCTGGTGCTGCCTGCAGGGTCATGCTTCCCACTGGGTCACCCCATGTGTGACAAGGTCAGGTGAGCCTGTGGGGGGGGCAGGGGAAGATGGTGTCACAGAGGGAACATGGTGGGGTGATGGTGGAGCTCCTTTCCTCGTTAGCTATAGAGTTACCTTTGCGGTGTTTAGTTGGGAGGGATGGGAAAAGGTGACACCTACCACCCTCATGGTCCTTGCTTCTACTACTCCCTCACTCTTCCTCCTCCTTCCTCTTCCTCTCTCTCCCCATTCGTCTCCCTCTTTCCCTCTCCCTCTCCTACTGGGGTTTGAAGTCAGGAGCTTGCACTTGCTGGGCAGGCATTCTACCACTTGAACTTTCCAAGAGCCTCACTGGCCATCTCAATCTGTCCCTCAATGGGCACTATGAGGGCCTTTAAAAAGGTAAACCTGGGGCTAGGATGTAGTGCAGTGGCAAAGCACTTGCTTAGCAAGTGCAACATCCTTGATTTGATCCCCACTGCCAAAACAAAACAAACTCCCCCCCCCCAATCCCTAAGAGCTGGGTGCCGGTGGCTCACGCCTGTCATCCTAGCTACTCAGGAGGCTGAGATCTGAGGATCGTGGTTCAAAGCCAGCCCAGGCAGGAAAGTCTGTGAGACTCTTACCTCCAATTAACCACCAGAAAACTGGAAGTGGCGCTGTGGCACAAGTGGTAGAAGAGCTCAGGGTCAGCTCCCAGGCCCAGAGTTCAAGCCCCATGACCGACCAAAAAAAAAAAAAAAAAAAGCTAAGAAAAAAAATTTGGATGCAAAACTTGATCCCTCAAACCACCTAAGACCTTTCTTCAGCCCTACTGCTATGAGACAGATGCCCTGCAACCCCTGGCTCCTCCTTGGAGACTTCTCTTCCCTTCCAGGGACAGTATGAGCCTCCCTCCTGAGCCTGTTGGCTGTATTCATAGTCACAAAAACCTCCCAATGTGTACATCTGTCCCCTATTCCCTTCCTCCTAAGGGTGGTAGTCTTAGGGACCACCCATATGACCTCAATGCAAAGACCCTCCAAACAAGCTCACATTCTAAAACACTGGGATTATGAACTTGGGTGTCCATAACACCTACTACAGGGCCTTTGCCCAGGCAATTTCTTCTCTCAGCAGCCTCTTGGCTACCTATAGTCCATGTCATCTGGTTAGCTGCTGATGCTCCCCTAGGGAAACTTTGATTAGCTACTAGGATCCTTCCAAACCAGTACTTAAGGGAAGAAAGAACCAAGGCTCAAGAGGGCTTCCTACTCATATGAAAAAACACAGCCATTACTAAAAAAAGAAAGGTGTCATTCAAAATGAAGTCCAGCCCCTAAAATTAAGGATATGAGGTTGGGCACCAGTGGCTCAGGCCTGTAATCCTAGCTACTCAGGAGGCCTAGATCTGAGGATCACGGTTCAAAGCCAGCCTGGGCAGACTCTTATCTCCAATAAACCACCAGAAAACCGGAAGTGTTGCTGTTGCTTAAGTGGCAGGGTGTTAGCCTTGACTCAGGGACAGTGCCCAGGCCCAGGGTTCAAGCTCCACCACCACCACCACCACCAAAAAAGGATATGCCTGGGAGATGCTTAGTTGCCCATATTTGGGGATCCAGCCATCTACTTACTGCGGAACACCCCACTCCCCACTCTGGTCCCTGCTCTGCCTTGATCACTTAACTTTAGTACTCTTTATTGTCCCCTGGCCTGTGTGAGTAGGATTATAGGCTATAGCCACCAGCGCCCTGTGCCTTTTTGCTTTTAAGTTGTTTATGAGACAGTGTCTTGTCACCTTTGCTTTGCCTGGTCTTGAACTTGCAGTCCTACTGTCTCTGTCTCTGGAGAAGCTGGAATTACAGGCTGTAGCTACAACCTACTTAGCCTCCTGGGAACTGGTGAACCACCACCAGCGGAACTGGGAGGCAGAGCTAGGGTAGGTGGGGTGGAAGGACCAGAGAGCGCGTCCACGAGGAAGCGCGTCCACGTGAAACCCAGTCCTGTCCCCTGAACAGGCTCGCTCCGCCCCTCCTTCACCCAACGCGGACCTTATCCCCGCCCACGTCTTCTGACTCCGCCCCCTGCATTAGCCACGCCCAAAGCTCCAAGGCCCTTTGCCCACCCTGTCATCATCGCCCCGCCCCCGAGACCCGCGTGCTGTCGCGAGCGACCGGCAAAGCCACTCCTGCCGGAAGACCTGCCGTAATCCGCGCCCCAACCGTCGTGAAGTGCGCGGGTTCCCTTAGTGACAAGTAACGCGCGGAAGATGGCGGCGCCGACGGAGGTAGCGATGGCTGCGGGCCCCGCGGAAGCGACCGAGGCGGCCGAGCTGAGTCGCGCCCTGGGCCGCCTGCTGCCGGGGCTGGAGGCTGACAGCAAACTGGGGCGGCGGCGCGCGTTGGAGGCCCTGGAGCGCGCGCTGGACACAGCGGCGGGGCCCGGCTCTGACCCCGTCACCTTTCAGGGTCCCTGGGCTGGCCTACTGCTTCCGCGCCTGCTGCGCCTCCTGGCCGACCCCGCCGAGGGCTGCCGCGCGCTGGCCGTGCACCTGTTGG